TTTTGCTCTCCCTGAGGTTTCTCCCATTTTTCCCTTTAAACTGTGGGTTTTCTCTGGAAGTTTTTCCTTGTACAAAGTGAGGGTCTAAGGACAGAGGGTGTCGTGCTGTCATACTGATATTCTGTACAAACTGTGAAGTCCACTGAGACAAATGTAACATTTGTGATATTGGGCTATATAAATAAACATTGATTGATTGACTTTACACCACTGATCCCAGGTTATATACTGTACAGAGTTGGAAAAACATATTTTGCTTTTGTTTGAGTACCAATATTTGGTGACAAGTTGAAGTTCTGCATTTTAATATCACTTGATCTAAAAATGTTTTACATATTTTACATCGGTGACGTACTAATACATTAATATTAATATAATTTACTGCTGAAGTTGTAAAGGTGTGGCTTATTAGACAAATTATAGCGAAGTAGAGGTAAAGAGTTGCATTAAATGGAAATACTCAACCAATTAATTACAGTAATTGAGTAAAGTTAGTTACTTCCCACCACAGGTTATTTGGACATCCCTAAGGGAAAATATAGCGCCAAAAGACAACATCATTTATATTATTTGTAATATGGCTATTTTTTTTGCAAGTGAACATTTTAAAACCATGGACTTTCTAGTTTGAAGTTTAGGTATTATGTTTTATTCCAACTATAATATAAAATCATTATTAAAATATAAAAACATTAAAACAAATAGTTTCAAATACTGACAAAATGTTGGATAAAACTGATTAAAAGAAACACACATTTTTACATTGCTAAATGGACAATTATCTTTGAGCTAGTGGCGCGGCGAAACTCCCGGAAGTAATTTCAAAGCAAAAGCCTTCACAGTCTGGTGAAATTTAAAAACCAAAAATCCCATAGAAGAAATAAATGAAAAGAAAAGAAGGAAAAACAAATGAGACGAAAATACACTGACTTTTCTTCGTACACAATTGCACATTTATTACAATAGGCCTATATCTTGATATGTTTTGTTGATATCATTATTTAAGTCAAGTCAGTATTTATTTAGGGTGCAGAATCATATACATAGTTTCATGAATACTTTAGAGTAGATAAGAGTTGTATTAAAATATCTGGTAAGGTACTGGCATGGATGTATAATGAGAACTGGGCCCTGGACTACATATCCCATAAATCCCCGCCTGTGTCTTTACGTCATCAACATGCGCATGTAGTTCTGTTTTGCTTCCTTCAAGCACATGAGACAAACCAACGTGGCTTTTGCTTTTGACAAGATATTTCTGAAGCAACTTCATGAAGTTACATGGCTATTAAATTAAACGTTTTTGTGCCATCACCGACTTTAACAAAACTAGCCGATTGACAAGTAACTTATCTCGCTGTTCTGCTTTAGAGACAAACTGGTGAGTGACTGAATTAGCAGAGTTAGCACGTCGATAGAGAAGAAGTGACACCCGCAGATGTTTTCTCCTCTCTTTTACATTTTTGGTTTTGATTTTACAGTCCTCAGGAATCATGTTCAATGAGGAAGAAGAATGGAGTGATGAACAAGACGCTAAAGTCCTAACCGAAACCGTCCCCAGAAACAACCAGAAGGCGAACAGCAGCACAAATGCCAAGGTACGTGTAAATGCAATCAAGCAACCTGTTGTGAGTAAGTTGTAAAACAAATGAGCAAACGCAGTTATTTCCATTATGATGGCTGTATGTTACCTTGAGTTGTGTAAGTGTATCATACAAAGCAGAAAATGGTGCAACATAATGAATGTATGATAACCAGGCAACTTACCTGCCCATTTTCTAAAGTGTTTGTTTGGTTTTTGTTTAAATTATGTTCCTTGAAACATGCCAGACGGATGGATTTGAATAGGAACAAAACATAAATAAACAAAAAAAGTCAAAGTAATTATTGTTTTGCTATCATGCCACATTTGGTAACAGAAGGACTAATATTATGCTGACATAATTCTTCCATCTTTCTTAATAAAACAATTTCAAAACACATTTTTCATTCAGGCAATTTGTTACAAAGGAAGCTATTAATATTGTGGTTTTCACCATTACACACTGTTTTGAAAGAATACTGAGTATTTAGGTTAAAGGGCTAATTACGATATCTGAAATGTATCCCCTGATCAGGCTAAGCTGGTTGGAAAGAAGAGCCTGATGCGGACCCTGCAGACCCTGGGGTCGGTACCAGAGTGGAAGAACGAAGAAAACGAGCAGGGAAGTGACAGTGAGGCAGAAGTGGTCCCGACACACCCCAAGAGAAAGAGAAAGAAGAAGAGAAGTAAAAGGCGAAAGAAAGCAGAGGACGCAGACCAGATTGCTATTGAGGAGAAACCTGTACCAAACAAAAGGAACAAATATAAAAAAATTGGTGAGTAATTACATGCATTCCTTAATTTAATTAATATTTGTGTGTGGATAAGTATTTAAGCATTGAATATGTTCTGAAACAGGACATTTTGATATGAACTATATACAAATGTATTTCTCTCCCTTAGTGACCCCGGAGGCAGAAACCACATTTGTGGGCAAGACGGAAGAGATAAAAGTGACCCAATCTGACACAGTAAATGGAAATAAACCAGAGGACAATGAGCAACTAAGCAGAAAACAGTGGAAAACCAAGATGAAGAACAAGAGGAAATCTAATAATAAATTCAGAGAGAATAAGCATAAGGAAGTAGTCAATAATGAATCTGCAGAGCCAGACAAGCCAAAAGAAGACGTCAAAATAATTCCAAATACAAAGAGTCAAACTCCAGCAAAGAAAAAGGCAAAGCAACCTAAACCACAGAAAAGGAAAAACCCTGAAGAGGAAACTGTTGTAGCCGCTACAACAGAGAAGCCGCAAATTGGTGGCAAAGTTGAAAAAGCTGAAAAAAGATCTCCTGCTGGTGGATCAAAACAAAAAGCAGAGGAACCTATAGTGGAGATCAAAGAGGATCAGCACCCATCTCCCAGCAAAAGACTGAAACCTGAGCTGAGCAAAGCAGAGATTCTGAAAAGAGAGAAGCTGCGCAAAATGCTGCTCAGCCAGGAGCAGGTCCAACAGGAGAAGGTCCAACAGGAGAAGGTCCAACAGCAGGGTCCTGTGGAGACGGAAGAGGAGCCTGTGGTACCAGAAGAAGAGGGCCAGCAGGACCGCTCCTCCTCCCTCCGGTCCCGCATGGAGCAGCGTCTGGAGTCAGCTCGTTTCCGCTACATTAATGAAGTTTTGTACAGCACGACCAGCGGAGAAGCAAAGCGTATGTTCAAACAGGACCCAGAGGCCTTCGGGATCTACCACAGAGGATACACTGCACAGGTCCAGAGATGGCCGGCTAATCCAGTGCAAGCCATCATCGCTTACATTCAACTAAAGTGAGCTTAAAGGCAATGTAATGTTTTGCATGTAGTACAGCATTTTGAGGTTTGTCAAATCTAACAAGGTTTGTAATTTGGACATGGAAGTTCATACTTGACCTTTGACAACAAAGTGTATTTATCTAATGAGCTTTTCTGAGCTTTCAACTGAATCACATAGCCTTCTTCAGCAACTGGCGCTAGCTCGAGTGTCCTCATGTGACCTGAGGGGCAAAATATTGGTTACTTACTTACAAGGAGACCCTTACACAACACTTTGACAACGTTTTGGGGACACTTGAGCTCCATTCGCCAAACAACACTGAAGGATGCATTTTAAAGCTGCAAAAAGATAGTTAGTTGACATAAGATTTTAAATATATTCTTACACATTTTTCAAAGGGTCTACACATATTTCTCAGCTCAGCCCTGTGGAAAAATCAATTAGGTTTCCGACCTCTACGGAGGCTGGTATCACAATCATATGCACTGAGGAAAAATATAATTTTGTCATAAAATCCTTAGTTTAGTTCAATATATGCTGATGAAGTGACAGTAAATACCATTTTATTATAGCAAAAATAAACTGCAGCTCAAGTCTTTCCTAACAATTTAAGCAGATTCTATCCTTCCAGATCAAAACACGCACCAGTTTCAGCCTCTTCTCAAGACGTTAGCACCACCTTTTTACACCCTCAAAAGAATGAAAACAATTCAATAGCATTTTTGTTTCTTCCAAAACTCCCATTATCTGCTGTACACAGTACTTCTAACCCTGCTGACTTTATCATCTATTTCAGGCCTCCCACTCTGGTGGTTGCAGACTTTGGTTGTGGCGACTGTAAAATAGCAAGCAGTGTGAAGAACAAAGTGCACAGCTTCGACTTGGTGGCTACATGTGAGCTTGTCACAGTCTGCGACATGGCCAACGTGAGTGTCATTGTCATTTTTCTGCACGCTTATAAACGTATAATCTGTGAGATTGTTAGAAAATAAAACACCTTTTCTCTTTGCAGGTCCCTCTTCCTGACAGATCTGTGGACATCGCTGTGTTCTGCCTTTCTCTCATGGGGACCAACCTGGCAGATTTTCTAGCAGAGGCCAATCGTGTCTTAAAGATTGGGTAAAATGTTTGGTATTATTTATTAGATGTATGGCAGATCAATGTATGAATACTATATGTGTGTATAACCATTTTGCACCATCATTGTAGGGGTGTCCTCAAAATAGCAGAAGTGGCGAGCAGGTTCGAGAACGTGCGGAACTTCGTCACTGGGCTGTCAAGCCTGGGATTCAAGCTGTTGTCCAAGGTGAGGCAAGAAACTAAATAAGAGGACAGAAACACTTTTATGTTTGTCTACTTTCAATAGTGCGATTAATATCAATCGATTAGGCGCATGGTTTGTCACAATTTTTTGAAACCCGAAATGGTTGTAGCCTTTCTTCCTTTATAAAAACTTTGATTAATGTACAATTACAACTAGTTTCGCATGTAAACATCCACATTAAGATGTTTTTCGCCAACTGTACAGTCCTAATTAAATCTTCAAAAGTCAATTGTATTTTTACTTTTGGGTAGTCAATAAGAGGGAGTAAGTAGCTGGAAGCTGCACCTTTCAAACGTCAGTGTGAGGCTATGGTAATGTGGGCAAAAATACATTAGGTAGAAAATATTCCATGCACTCTGTGACAGAGGGACCTGGCTACATATATCAAAGGTAGATTAACATATTTGATGTGAATAAGAGTTTACCCACATGATTGCTTGTGGCTTTTACTCAAGCGTATACATCGAGTAACACAGTGACTGACCGTTTAAAGATAAATAATATTTTGTTTCTTTTTTTCCCCCTTAAGGAATCGGAGAACAAAAACACTCATTTCTACTCCTTTGAACTATTGAAGACAGCCGACGCTCCAGAAAATCTAAAAACATTTGGACTGCAGTTGAGGCCCTGTGTCTACAAGAAAAGATAAATGAATGTGAAAGGACATCTGTGTATGTCATATTTTACTTACACAGTTCAATAGTTGTACATTTGTATCAAACTGTTTTGATTGTATTGCTACATTTTGAAGCCTCTGTAATTCACAGTTTTCAGCTGTTTAATTATCTTCATTATTTGTACATGTTTTCTCATGTAATACAGTGCTCTGTCATCATATGCCATCATTATCAGAGATCATGCTGGTTCCCTACCCTTGTCTCTGGTTTAAGATGTGCTGATCAGTGAAATAACCGTGTGGTGTTTTGTTGGAATAAAACCTACATACAGTTTGGTTGTCCTAATATAATTGATGTCCATCCAATCCAGTTTTTTTATTTTTTATTTAAAGGAAAGTAATGATAATTGTGAAATGTAAAAAAAATACTGAAGACTGGTAAAAGTAAAACATAATATTTTAATCTGTGTGTAGTGACCAAATGACATCACTGTCAAATTATATCTTATTTCAATTATATTGAGTAATTTTTTTTGTACAGCAGTTTTGTGGCACTAAACCTTTTATACAAAATATCGTTTCATTTTGATTACTTCAAGAAACTTTGTTTTACTTGCAAATACTTTGAAGAGTTCTGAGTAAAAACTTAAAAAGAAAACAGATTTTTGTTTTTGTGGCTGTAACTAAAACCGCACTCACTCAGCTGTGTGTGTAATCATTTGCCACAAGAGGGTGTAGCAACACAGCGACCTGATGTGGGCGGGTGAGCTGAGGATGAGTGTGTCGGCATCTGGATCCTGCACTGACAGAGGATTTATTTTTAGAGTTTCTTCGTCGTCACAGCAGATGGTCCTCACTGATTTAGTTGACCAAGTTTACTACAAGGGCAGATGGTGTGAAGCTAAAGTAAAATTCTTCTAAAACTGGAGATGTGATGGTTGTTAAGTCGTATGGTAACACGTAAAAAAAAAGAAGATATATTATGGGTTATTTTATTCAGAAATACAAAAAAATACAATCTGCATTAAAAAAAACATACAAAATTCAAGTAAGTTAAAAAAGTGCCAAAGTAATGCGTTGAGTCAATAATACAAATTGTTTTGTTTTTTTAAAAACGATCTCACAATTAATGCTCATAAAAATACACTGAAATCATGAACAATGTGACAGTTGCTGTAAGCCTTATAGTTTGTGCAGAATATGTAATCCGAAGCTGATTTTATCTTTACACTGTGCTCTTGAGATCGATGACTATGGAGAAATTGACCAGCTGATCGTATTCCTTACTGTCGTTTTCTATCACTGCTGGCTTCTTCACCTCAGGAGAGCCGGGCTCCTGCATCATAGAGGTCAAGGCCGAGAAAGACTCCTTCTTCTGAAGTATTACGAGAGACGGTAAGAAAAAAAGAACAGTTTGAGATCATTATTTTGAAAGTTTGAAATGTGCATCATAAGTTAATAAAACCAGAAAAAACACTTTGTCCATGTTAACTGAATCCAAACGCACCTTATATTGTGTCTTGCTGTATCCTGTGCTGTAGAACAAAAAACAGATTGTATGAATCATGAGAAATCCTGTGAACACACTTCTGAGGAACTCGTAGGGCTGAATGACACCACTAGATGGCCCTGTGACTCAATCTGACACACTGACTTCAGTTCAGATGGACATGTTGCAGGTGTGATGCATTATGCCAGAGGAGGGTCAATGAGACAGACAGCGAGGGGTGACCCGAGGCCTCATCATTCTCTCTCATGTCAGAGGCAGCAGCTCACTTTGTACATTCATAACCTCAGTGACAACCCAATGAAGACTGCTGGGGTCAAAATGTGTCTCCAGCACTGGAACGGGGGGTCAGGGGATTTAACGTTGGTCCCAAAATAGTTTTTCTCCCGGGGAGTCATGTTTTCTTGGTGTACGCTGTGTGACTGACCTTCCCAAATTAGCCTGACAGGACCCTCCCACTGGAGCAGGGGATCTTTCAACCAATGGCACCTTGACCAAATGTTCTGACCACAGAGCCAGGCCTATTGAAAATGCTTCTGAACCGCTGTTGCGGTGCCGCACAGTGCAGATTTATTCCCGGCAAGGTCTGATCTGATCCTGATCTGGTCTGAGAGAAGTTAGATCTGGCAGTGAATTTGAAAATGTGGAAACTTCTGCAGGCAGAAACCATAAACAGTTTGTGACAGATATCCCGCATCAGTCGTAAAAGACGAGTGATTCACTGTTTCTTATTCTCAAAAGCAAAGACTACAGTTGGTTTTGTGGAGTTTTCTCATTGATGAATGGGAGCTCAAATGTCATTATGCTAATAACTTCCTGAAGATGTGGACTTTTATCTTCCCTTTTGCAATGTGGCGTTAGTGATAAGGGGCTAACGAGGAAAATAGAAAATTGCTCAGATTTTCTCACTGACAAAGGGAACATTTTCTACCTGTCTACAGACGGGGCTGTGGTGGCAGAGGCACCTGTGTGCTTCAGCCACACTGCTTCCTGTTTGTGAATAACAGCCTGATGCTGGGGTTAGTGGGTTGGTTGGGTATGCGATCCGTGCATCCTGTTTGTCTCGTATAGTGTGCCACAGACAGAGTTGCCCTAATTTGCTCGTCAACACATCACCCCTCTCCCCCCTGTAACCTGTGCAGCCATTTAACTTACCAGCAGACCCACAGGGTGACAGCGAGGATGAGGAGGATAGCCAAAGCCGAAGACATGCAGATTATGGCTGCAATTGCTGAAACACATACATAGACACAGTTGTATTAACCACAAATATTAAACAAAAGTCTCAGAAAAGCTCATATTTATATTTGAAACACACTTCAGGATATTGATATGCTCAGAAAGCCTTTTTTTTTTTAATTCAAAAGATGACAGCTCACCTAGATGTTTTTCCACGCTCGTGACCTCCACCTGTATGTTAACTGTGGCTGTGTGGTGGTAGAAGGACGCCTGGCAGCTGTAGAGGCCTTCATCCTGCTCTGTGAGCTCTGACAGGAACACCATGGCAACACCGTCCATTTGGACTAATGAGCCGTCACTCCTGAAACACAAGAGATTTTTAACTGAATATGTCTAAAAACCGATTGTCTTTGTTCCTATATCACTTGAAAAGACCAAAACCATCAATGTGTTCGGTCGTCTTTCAAATGTTACTGACTTCCTTACTCAATGCTGTCTCCCCCCATAAGTGCTTACTAAATACATTGTTGAACATTTATCCCAACCAATGTGAAGTTTAACTTGTTAGTAGTAAGTTTATAAATCACTCCGGCACTTATGTAACAGGAGTAAATGTGAATAAGTTGTGGGCTTTTTTCAGCCCCGAATACATGTGTGCTCTCGTGATTATTAAGGCTGCAGGGTGTGTTTGGGGAACTGTCCAGGTGTTTTGGACAACAAAAGGACTGTGGAACAAGCTGTATCAGGCCATTGCTACACTGACCATTCATTTATGTTTTTTGTCTTTTCGTGCAATGTGTTCACAAGAAAAAACAAGAAAAAAGGAATATCTTCAAACCAACTCTTTAGTGTCGAAATTATCCTGGCTGATGTCCATGTCGTGCAAACAATCCAGTTAACATTTTAAGGTTGGTAATTCTTAACTCTCATCAATGGGGGAAACATTTATTTTGTGTTGCATGCAAGTGCTTCCTACTGATGGTTTTCTGAGATAACAGAGGATACACCACCTTTTACAGTTGAGGTTGTACTCTGGTATATTTCCCTCGACTCGGAGCAGTATTCTCTGGTTGTGATGACCCTCCTGGAGAGCCAGTTTTTGTGCAAAGGGTCCATCACCGTAGCGGCTTTGCAGAGGAGTGGAGTGGTTAAGGACTGTCACAGCGGAGATATCTGCAGGAAAGTCAGGTAAACCATCGCTGAATGCATCACTGTGAATTATTGGGAGTTCAGAAGTTCATAAAAGCCTTTTTTGTGTTCAACTCACAGTATCTGGGGATGGGAAGGGTCTTTGTCTCTGTAGCTCCATATTCAGACTGATAGACACAGGTCAGCTCCTGCCCCTCATGAAGGGCCAGAGGGAACAGATAAGTCAGCCGGGCTTTCCGGACACACCCTTCAGACTCTGAGTGCAGGGATGTCAGGCCTTTGGCATTTTCGGGAAGGACCCATTCGAGGTTGGTCCCCACACCCTCCCCTGTGCAATCACACACTGCCTGCCAGAGGGGAGAGTCTTTCTGTCTCACCACTGACACACTCATCAGAGGGGCTTCTGAAAGAGAAAACAAGGAGTGACAGGAAGGGGGTGAGCAGCTGTGTGAGTCACAGAGAGAAATATCTCGAAGAAAGAAATAACGTACTCGGCCCAAGAATGTGTATTGTTTTTGTTTCTGGTGCCTCCAGGCTCAGATGCTCCACCGTGCACGTCAAATTCTGACCAGAATACAAAGAAGACAAGAAGCGTGCAGAGCTGCGGGCCGATACCAGACCATCAGCCTGGACCTGGGTCTCAGACAGATAACTGATGCTGTTGTCACTGTTTCCAACTTGCCAGGTTATTGTTGCTGCGGGGGCAACACTCTCCACAGAGCAGTCCACATCTGTGTACTCCACACCATCTCTCCTCTCAGTGCTGGAGTTGATGGTGATGTTTGGGCGAGCTGAGTGGGAAAGAGAAGTGAAACTAAAGGAAGTGGTTTTGAGTAAAAATATAAAATATATGGCACTTCTACAGCCAAATGTGTCCAGTACTCAGACAAAATCATCCATTGCATGATTTGTCGAACATACCACAAAGAGGGAGAGTTATGCTTCTGTTTTCTGGCTCCTCAAACGCAGGGTGATTTATCACACACTCTGCAGTGAGCTCCCAAGGCGAGCAGGCAGGGAGGAGTAAAACTCCTCTGACAGAGTGGCTTCCATTATGAGAAGTTAAATTGAACCAAGAGACTCCAGACACACCCTCTGGTAGAAGCCAGGACATGTTAGCAACGGGAACAGCATCAGCTGCTGAGCACTCAATCACCCTGTGTCCATCTTCAGTCCGCAAATCAACCCGTATTGTTGGAGGCACTGAGAAGATAGAAGGATCCACATCAATCATTTATAGAGGAATAATACAGACATTTCTAAATGTAGTCATGGAAAGAAACATATGCAGAGACTTTCACTCACCAGGCTGTATAACTTGAGGTTTAACTGTGACGTTAAACTTCAGCGTTGCTTTAAGATGGTGATATGAGAAGGAACATTCATACAGGCCGGCGTGCCAATGCTCCACAGGACCCTGAACTGTGAGGCTGCTGCCAACCAGCTCCACACCCTCAGGCAAAGGTCCATCATCTCTAAAAGGCAACACAAGCAATAACACAAGGAGGAATTCATTCTTCATTTTAATGTTTTACCAACATTAAAATATGAGTGTTTTTTCATTCAGGACACATTTCTAAATCTGCTTCCTGCAGTCTATCGCTTGTGGTTTGGTGCCAACAGACGTCTTACCACATCCTAGTTGTTTCGGTCTATGCGTACAGGAGGAAAAAAGGAGCATTGATGTTGTTTTTGTCAATATGTCACCCCGTATTTTCTTTTCTTTGCACGAGACTGCAAAACAAAACATTCAAAAACCTAAATAAACAGTTACCAGTTTCACATGAATATTTCTTACTTCTTGCAGGTGACGTTGTAATGTGGCACATTTCCCGTGACCTGCAGTCTGATGACGGTGTCACTCTGTCCGTCCTTTAGCTCTAAAGATGCAGTGCCTTGAGAGTCATCACTGTTGTTTCTCATCTCTGAGAACAATAACTGAACTCCAGACAAATCTGCAGAATAAAAAGCACATATACTCTCTGTGACTTACAGTATACATCACGAGCATCAGCAGTTTTTCAGAAGCAGAATGCGGATAACACTCACAAAAAGACGGCAGTGTTAGGACTCGTGACACTTTATCTGTAAATGTAGGATGGTCAAACACACAGGTGACATTGACCCCCTTGTACACAGCTGCAGGGAGGAGCACTGAGCTGGTCTTTTTGTCTGAGTCTGAGTGCTCCTCTCTCTTCAGATCTTCGTCAGTGTTCAAAGCCAAGGCGATGTCGGTGTCAGGTCTCCCTCCAGACGAAATGCACGAGACCACCCAGAACTCACTTCCTCCGTTTTGTACCATCTCTGCTTTAATAGTCACATTTGGACTTGATAAAAGAGCAGGAAGAAAGGCTTGAAGAGTTCTTTTTAATGTTTTTTCCAGCAAATTAAAAAGTCAGGTATCAAGTTGAGGCTCAGGGTGTTTTTGTTGAATAGGAAGCCGGTGGCCGGATGAGCTGAATGTTAGCTAAACACGAGCCGTGAGGGGCTTCTGCTTGGGTTCTGGAAAGTGCTGACTTAAGCTTATCACCTGTCCCATCTGTTGGCCGGGCTGCAGCTGAGAGCAGATGTCTGGCCCAGCTGCTGTCCAACCAACGCTGAGAGAACCACAGGATTTAATAAAGGGAATCAGCAGAGATCACAGGCTATTAGCAAATATATAAATGTTGTGGCGTTGTACAATAGCCAGCCATTCCTAATGAGTTGAGGAAGGGTGTGTGCGATTAAAGTGAGTTAAGCACTTTAATTGCTTTAATCTGTTAACACCTAAGTTATGTGTAGATTTAACCACTGCAGTTGGAGAATTACCTATAAGCTGCATTACTTCAGTGGGGTGTGAAAGTATTATGGATAAATGAGCTGGCCCTATCATGCTGATGAGAGCAAAGCAGCCTAAATGCAGCATGTGACCAGTAGGGAGCATCTCAGTTTGAAACCGGTGTACTTGTACTTGTGCTTTACAATGTACAGTTTATTTTTACATCAAGTGCTTGAGGGTGGGATTAATATCATTGTTTTTATTTTGGGTGGTGCTTTTTATGAATAGCCTGGTTGCCACGATATGCACCCCTTGCTATCTCTGACAATAAACAATTCACATACATGAAACTTGCTCCATTTATTGGTACTGGTCCTACAACTATACCCTCCAAAGTGCTTGAGGGTGGGATTAATAGAAGCATCTTTTTTTGGGGGGTGATTTTTACGGCAGGCCAGGGGGTGCATTTCATGGCGGGGGTGCATCATTTGACACCACACCGGCAGTCAGAGAGGAGGAGCATTAGTCAGAGCTTTTAAAGATTGATGACCACATTTAAAAGGTCCTCATGAGCAACATTATACTGCACCAGGTACATTTGCTAAGATTGGGCCAACTGATTTGTCTGATGTTGGCCTCCAGCTGCCCTGCACCAAATGTCACTGTATACGTGACGGATAAAGAGGAATTCAATTGAATCCTTCATTTCAATTTAACATAAGGCAGGATCCTAAATGTGTGGTGTAATATTAAACATTGCTCGTTTAGTTGAGGTGACAAGAAATCCACGCTTTTGAGTGTTTTAGTATCTTTACTACTAGCTCCTTGTACTTGCTTTAAATTTGTACATGAATCGGGTTAGACTTCTAGATGCTAGTGCCATCTGAAGATGAATTATTTGAAAATAAATATGATTGTGACTAAATAAAGCAAATGTCCTTGTTTTCTACATGTTTACATTCATACCTTATGGTGTGCAAAAACTTTGTTGGTGTTGAAAGTGGGATCTTTGGAAAATAAATGTCACCCCTCAACTAGAAATGTTTTTTTTTTGTAATCAATATGTGAGTAAAAAAAAAAAGGTTGATTAAAAAAAGCAATGGAATTGCTTTCTGCACTGTGGTGTGTTAATAATTAGTTACTGGGCTGTTGCTGCATTATGTTGTTCCATATGCTCGATGCCAGTGAAAAGAGTGCATTCCCACATGAATGCATTGCATTGCGCAATGTGATTTATGGTCTGTCACTGTGTATGTCTATAGAGTGGGAAGGAAGGGCCAGTGTGAAAAATCAGCAGGAAAATGTTATTGTGTTGTGAGATGCTGAGTCATGATGCACGTTTACAAAAAGACCCTGACTGGTGATGCAATACAATATGTCACCTCCTGGCAGCACGGAAGGAGAAACACAGCAACACTGAAAAAATTGAGCTTACTGAAGGTTTCCACCCTCACAGTGGTGAGGGTGGGCTTTGGTAGGGTCGGGTGTTGGACCACGCACGTCACGCTGTCCTCGTCTTGCAGGTGGGTGGGGAAGCGTAGGATGCTGCTCAGGGTGGAGGTTCCGTTTGAGTGAACGGTTTCACTCACATCCACAGTGAAAGGGTAATGTGAAGGAGGGCGGCTGTCGACCAACCAGCTGATCTGAGGTACAGGTCGGCCACCGAACGCAGAGCACGACACCGCCTGGTAGTGAAAGCCGTTTATAGTCTCTGAGTTCACCTCGACCTGAATATCCGGCCGAGCTGAGAAGAAAAAGTCATGTCAAACCACATTGTCAGTGTTTTTAAAGGTATTATACTGTTTTTCATCAATATAGATTAGGTCCCAGATATATACAGAACATGTCTTTGAAGTGTTTGGCTAGAAATACCAAACAGATCATGCATTGTAGCATCCCATAAGCCCCTCTGTTTCAGGCCTGTTTCAAAAGTGCTGATTCTCTGTCTTTTACTTTAGATGAAAACAAGGAGCCACTCCCCTCTGTGAGATATTTGGTTAAAAGAACATAATGGTGCTCTAAGAGGAGATTCAGGTGATAAGGTGGGGTGGGGGGGGGTTACCTTGGTTGGTGATTGGCTAATGCTTACACGCCAAAACATCGTTATGACATCATAAAGTGGCCAGGTTTTTATATAAATGGATCTGAAACTTTCAGAGTCTCTTCACACAGAGGGGACACATGTTTATGTATAAAATACATGAAAAAGTGGATTTTGGATAATAGGTGACCTTTAATGTCAATTAATCTATGTGTAAACAGCCACCTGTGTAAATTGACTTCAAGTAAATCTGTCTCCATCTGGAGATTACATAAACCCTTGACTTGTCAAAAGTGATTATACTTAATACACACAAACAACTACTTTATTATTGAAAGGCTTTTTGAGCTACCAACTACCCACACAAATATGTCAACTGTGAATACATTAACGGAATAAGGCCTGAAGCCATTGTTATGGTGGTAGACAATATTGAATGAACGGCTAAAGTTGTGGGAAAGAGGAGGATCATCAAGTGGATGAAAACCTTGAATGTAATTACTGCAACATTCAGCAGCTGTTTGTCAGAAAGTACTAGAAAAACGAGTCCCTAAAACATATAGACAGTGTGAATCACTGGCAGATTAACAATAATCATGCCTGTTTACCATTACAACAAGTGAGTGTACACACAATTTGACTACATGTTCTGTGTTCCAGCATCAAAATCTGCATATTACTGTATATTATTATCATTATTAGTTTATTTCTTTGTTTGCTGTGTCAAAGAGTTGATGGCACCCAGAGGGTTGTTGACATCAACCTAATGGCGGCCCCATTCTGGATTCATCTTATTTATAGACATGTATTTGGACTACCTATGTTGTAAATGTATTATCTTTTTCTAAGGGTCTAAACCCAGAGGGTGCCGTATTCAGATTCATTTTCTGTACAAACTGAAAAGTCCTCGGAAACAAATATTGAGCTATATAAATAAACTTTGAAGAGTTGTCATTCATATTTGTACATTAACACTTTACATATGCACATGTTCATAATTATATGTATTTTTGAATTGTATAAAATCTTCATTTACTTTCAGAAATCCAGACATCTACAGCCAGCATTTAATGTTTTACACTATTCATATTCCTATTTGTATTGATACATGTACTTATATTTATTGTCCTTGTGTTGTTTGTAACCTTACTCGTTCTTTGCTTTGTTTCATTTCCGTTGCTATTCAAGATTTAAAGGCTTTATTGTCATATGCACAACAATTACAGACCAGTTATTGGAATGTGTATGTAGTGCAACGTATACACATTTCACTATGTCACCTGATTTTCCCCAGGGATTTATAAAAGGTTATCTCACCTTGTCACTGATGGATAGCTAAGCATCTCTCTGAATTGCCTGGTGATGTATTCTATCATATTGTTGCTGGGCCCTGTTGTAAATATCAGCTCCAGTACTGGGTTTATTTAGAGTTGGCACCAACAGCAACTCCAGTCATGGATGTGAGGATGGCAAGGCTGTTTCTTGACCTTGGGGGCTTGAAAACAGAAAGGTTAGGTACAGTTAACTCACTTCTCTGAGGAAGGACAGTATGTTCTGACAACACTATCCTCCCAAGATTAACAACAGCATCAATGGTTTCAGCAAATGCCGTTAACCAAGGCATTCGACCTGTAAAATGGCCTTGTACTCTTTAGGATAAAGGAAAATATTGGAGAAGATGGAACCAGCAAGTGTTTGCTTGAAAAAATATCCAACATTTGCTTGACTGTTAATAACTAATTCCTTTTTCAGTTGATGACCAATCAATTAGTCAAATAATTGTTTGAGCTCTATCAGTGAAGTTAAACTACATTCTAATTTGTGTCATTAAGGATGATTTTTTCTATTATATTGAAGAGGCCCTGTAATGTGTCAGATCCAACGTTACAGCAACACAAGAAACAGACAAAAATAATGAACAAATAAATCAGTTTAGACAACTGTGTAAAGAACTTTCACAAGTCAAATAATTTTAACCCATATGCTTTGTTATACCGTAGATGTATAAATTATTCTTAAATTCAAAAGGAAGGAACTGAAAACATGCATAACAACTTTGTCCACACCTGATAGAGTTTGAGCAGCTTGACTAGTCCTCCCACTTACATCTTGAGGGAAAAGATGATTGTAGCTCTCCCTTCCTCTGGTGTATTTGTGTCCAGAGCAGGGCAGGTATTGAGCACAGAAATATAAAAAAGTCCAAGCAAACGGTAATTGCTCAATGCAAAAAACACTAAACAGCCACAGGCAGACAGGAACCAGATACGCTGAGGGAGACTGCAAGATCAGGGGCAGGAGGCAGGTAGGCTTTCTGGGGATGAGGCGAGGAAGGCAGGGTTGACAACAGGAAGCCAAGAAGAAGAATAAGGTGCTGGAGAGTTTTGCATGAGAGCTGGAGAACAATCTGACAGTGGGTGTTTCTCAATGTCGAGTACGCTTGCTTGGTAGTACATGTCTTCCGAGTCACTTGCTTCAGAAGCGAGGCAGGAATACTTCCTGGCATTTAGAAAACAAAGAGTGGAACAGGCGAGCAAGTGTGCAGGTGTGCGTCATATGAGAGGCCCGCCTTACATTTTCCGCCACAGATTTGGGGAAATTGGTCCGTGCGCAAAGCATTGTGGGGATTTTAAGACCGCGGAGTCTACACATGTGCAGCCTCGAAATTTCTCGCTAAGAAGTACGCCGGTCTCGGTAGAATTCCAAGTATGCTGGACATTGGAACAGTCCTTCGGCGGGCACTCGATGACGTAGTATTGGAATTCTACCGAGACCGGCGTACTTCTTAGCGAGAAATTTCGAGGCTNTTCATAAAGCCAAAACATTTCAAGTGCTACTCAACTGGCTTTAGATAAGCCAGTCCTTTGTTAGTATATAAGTGCTTAGTTAGTATATAAGTGCTTTGCGGTTTTTTTCCCCGTTTTTTTTTATTGCTGGAAGTGGAGTCACCTATACTTGTATTACTTTTTAGATATTGGTTTCTGTTCTTGTCACAGTGACATAACGTGTGTTGTATTATTTATAGGTCTGTAGCATAGACTGTATATACACGGTGTGTAGGTTCTCACATTAGCCATTTCAAAAAAGTAACTTTTTTAAAAGCAACTTGGATACAAGTGAATTGATGTCAGCCCACTGGCAGACCTAACCCAGGATTTATGCATGTTCCACACACACGCACACAATCCTAAAGACACTTTTTATTACATTTGAACATTTCCTTTATGAGATACTGAAGAGACGCCAACAGGAATTAGAGGAAGAGAGAAAGTGGTATAACATGCATATATGTATATTACAACAGTCCTGCCACTTGCATTTGTAGCATGTGTCCCTTACTATGCCTTTTACTGCTCTTTACTCATGTTGTTGCACTTATTTGCCTGGTTGCGTTAACTGCATAGATCCTTTACATTAACACTACTTAAATATGGTTTACAATTCAGGGACCCATTTCATTGCAAAGTCTTTACCCAATATAAGTAAGGGGTTTCCCTTTCTTCTTAATGAAATGATGAAGTGCAGTGAAAAATGTCATGATGTTAATTGGAAGAGTGACATTCTAAAGTGTTTTCATCGTCAGATTAGATGATAGTCCCACAGAGTTAGTTAATGCCTGTCTTAAACAGCATCTGCCAGCTCAATCCACTCTGTCTGTCAATCAATTGAACATTCAAGTTCAGAGGAAAAAGGTGTAGGATGGAGCCACATGCTGCTTACAATCATCAGTATACTTTATGTGTGTGTGCAAACAAGGACATAAACAGCTGAGTTTGCTGCCAAACTTTGTGAATTAAAATCTCGAACAACGAAGTCTTTCATAGTTTTTTATTTATTTATAGTATTAGAGTTTGCGGCAGAATCCGTGGCTGTCAGTAAATCAGTGGCCTGGAAGAACCGAGGTCCACACCTTGGATAGGGTTCAGACACACTTAAGCCAAAAGAATACTTTCACCATCTGCATGGCTTCCCTGGCTCCACAAGGGTATGGGTTTGATTCATCCGTCTAAAGATGATGATGCAAAGACCAGTCCAAAAGCAGTTTTGCAGACTGAAGCTTGTTTGTACAGTGTACTACGGGAAGTGTTAAAGTCTTCTTTTTATAAATATAATAGTCTATCAAAGTTGCTGCAGAAAGCTGCCTCAGTCTCCTGCAGGAAACTCAGTCTGTGAAGCGCATCATGGTGTCCTATTCTGACTGAATATAGAATCTTGTTGATAAGACTCTTATCACCAGCAGCATACTTTTTGAAGATACATTTTATTTACCAAGTACAAACATAATGTACGCAATTTCATAAAGAAATAGTCAAATTAACATATGTGATAGGCTATATGTATACATTTATAAAATGCCAGAGGGATGCATGCCTGCTTTATGTAAAGTGCTCATGTTTGACTGTAATGTGGAAACTGTCCATTCTGCAGTTGAATCCCTTCAGCGCTGCTTTGCTGATGTTCTAGTTGCTCTCAACAACCATGAATTAGTTATCAATGCAGATAACACTCAATTCCCCAGAGCCAGTAATATCAATTCTGATGATTTCATCTTCTCGACCAAGAAGGATACAAATAATGAATGAGTCGCAGAGAACAAGTATCTTTGGGTTTGGGGGGGAGGAGAAGACACTTTTAAATATCATAAGACTGAACTTGTGAGCATGTTAAGGAAAACTATTTTCTTTACATGATAGGAATAATGTGTT